TCGAAAGAGTAAGGTAGATAGTCGTAAATAGGAAAGGTGAATGGTGAGAAAAGTATGTTTTCTATATTCAGGCATGATTAGTGTATGGTTCACTGTTATGAGGGGTTCACATTCAAAGTTTTCACCCTTTCTGAAGGGCGTCAAAAATTTTCCAGGGTTACGAGTTACTGGAACAATCCTCGTAGCAATAGGCCCAGTATTTGTCGTGACATCGGAAGACTTCTCTGGTGTCGAAAACCAGGACGTCCCGCCGTGACACAAATCCGTGACGCTCGTACCGGAGACACCTACTGAGGGGTGTTGTACGGCCATGTCTCGTAGTAACGCAGAGGTCCATCCTTGCTGTTGAGTGGTTAGGTCGTTCGCACTTCAACTGTTTTAGTAGTATGAATACATATCTCATAGTGTATCTGTAGTGTAGCAAAAGTGTGGGAAACTCTAGTATTTCGATTCCTATCTATTTTCTTTGACTTCCACATTGAGTAAGGATTGTGAAAAATTGATTGACAATAGCGTAAAGGCAAAGGCACTTGGACATGAACGTAACATGTACTGGTAAGTTAGACGTCTTATAGCCCAATTTGCTTCTGTCAACCATGCGGGGCAAACCCAGCTGAGAAGATAGTTGATGGTAAAGTGACTAGTTATTTGAACCAGGATGATCTTATTCCCACGAACCAGCACGGATTTTGTGGGTAAGTAAAAGAAACGGCTTCACCTACTTTTCTCCATGACTGGACTAGGGCACTCCATGGCAGAAAACCTGTCCACGCTTTATATTGACAGTTTGCAACAGCGTTTGACCAAGTAGAAAGAAACTAGGAAAGACTAAGAAACCCATTGCAAAGTTATTATCGCTCGGGATTCATCCTCTCATAGTGCGCATGATCGAATCATTCCTATGCAGTTGTACCTACCAAGTGCAAGTTTAGAATAGCTTTCTGTCGAAGTATCTGATCTAAATTACGTTCCTGTTCGCTGTTTGTACGACTTGCCTCCCTAGCTCTTTGTCAAGATTTGGGGTCAGATTCTTATTGTATGCTGATGATATCAAATGTGCAAACTCTTTGAATGCGCGTCCGACTACGAGGAGCTGCAGAAACAAGTGATCATATTGGGCGTTTGTCGCGAAATTAGGGATCACCCCGGCCCCTTGAAAACTAAAGCTCCTAGTATCGGAATTGAGCGTCTCAATTGACACAAAATTGGATCAGTAACATTAGAGTCAGTTCAAGAGATTACGTGCATTGGTTTTATTTCCCATAACAAAGCTGGGTTAAAGGGACACAATTATCTCGTTTTTTGAGCTTACATAGAGTTCCAAAGCATTGAGACCAAAAAAATCTCAAGGTATCATTGCAAGCCTATAACGCTTACGTTGGGCATGTAGTGAAAGATGGTACTCAGTGTTCTCACCGCATGAAAAGGATATTTAGCTCCTAGAGGTCGTCAGAAATTACTTCATTCTAAACGAGTCCGCTGCTTCCGGGCTGAACTATGATTGTCTACCAAGTGCGGTGGAAAGGCAACGTCTCTACGCTTTACCTAGTCTCCTTAGTAGATCGATTAATGACCTCATGATGCGATTTAAGTTTTTTAACAGCAGAAGTAACAAATAATCGAGCATGAATGTACTTTGCAGTACTTATCCTCAAGTTGAGGCGGTCACGCAACGGGTGTGATGTGACAAGTGCGCGCTTACCACTCGCGCGCGGCGCCGGGTTCGAATCCCGGGTCGACACCCGCCCAGGAACCAAGCCTTCTACCCTCCGGGGACGGTAAATTGGTACCAGATTCGTCTGGGAGGATAAAACACTGACTTGTACATCGGCTGGCCACCGCAAGTCATTGTATAGGCCACATCGCATTCAATAAGCCACTACGATTCTGAATGGAAGTAGAATGCGTGCCGCATCCCACAAAGGGATTGATCAACGGCGAAGACTTTATCCTTTTTTTATCCTTACCTCAAGGGTTACACAAAGACTAGAGGAAGCGTTATAAAGATCAGGGCTCCTGTGACAAAAGGCCGAGTCAGGTCTTACTTCTTTGCTACCGAAGTGCTATGTATATCAACTGAAATTTTTGGCGAGGATTCTTTCCAACCGTCAGCTGAAAATTTCACACAAGGGCCAATGTGAGTTAATTCATGCAGAGGCCTCCTGAGTCTCCGCTTCGACAGGATTGATTGCCTCGAATTGATATGCTTCATGTTCGTGCTTATGATTACGTTCACTTGTTTGTTGATTAATCCGCTTTCACTCATGGTCAGTGTGATTGTCTTTGGCGTTCTACTTGATTGTCCTGTTATTTAAGAGCAGTCCGCGTCCCAAAAATAGAGAAATATATGAATAAATTTGAGAAATGTTGAAAATTCTTTGAGCTAGGGATAGAAGAACCGATCAAAAGGGAGCAAGCCGACTTCCCCCCTCGTTGCAACCACAAGAAGGGACTGTGGTCTGCAAACGTGAAAAACTACTAAAAAATTATATGTTTTGCCCGTACGAGGCGAATACTTTGACAGAATGTTTGTGATCCTAATTAGTAAATCTATGGGAGTTCAGGTCTATATTAGGTGCTGTGTTGAAATTAACACAAAGGGCATTCGTGAGAGGGGTGAAAAAGCAATAGGAAAGAAAAAAGCGCATATTGCAAGTTTCACTTGAAGCTCTGCATCAGTGGTCTGTCACTTGGGGGTTGGAAATATCACCCGAAAAAACCTATGCGATGAAACTAGGGCCGTGTTCTAATGACATCCACTTCCTTATTGATGGGATTCAAATAGCTGAGCCACCTATTATTAGGGACCTTGGCGTCAAGTATAATAATGCTCTGTCCTTTGATGACTATATAAAGAACACTGTTAATATAGCCAAATCGCGGTGCAACTTCATACTTCGAGCCTTCTCCAGCAGAAGCATAAAAACACTGTTCACGCTGTTTACGGCTTACGTTAGGCCCATTTTAGAATACTGTGCGCCAATTTGGTCTCCTTCAAGTAGGTGTTTGGTGGAAAAGATAGAACAGGTTCAAATTAGGTTCACAAAGAGAATATTTCGCGAGAGCAGGCCTATTTCACATCTCCTATGAAAACCGTCTTGCCTCTCTTGGCTCGGCAACTCTCGAGATGCGAAGAAAAATTATGGATCTTGACGCCTTATTCAAGTTGTTCAAGGGAGAAATCGATGTTGACATCGACCAAGCTTTTCAAAAAATCCGCAACTACGGGCGTAACGCGAGGTCACTGTTTCAAATTACTGAGAGAAAAGACTCGTTCGAGTATGTATAAAGAGAGTTTTTCGCAGAGGGTTATCTCCCTCTGGAATAGTCTGCCAGCCGAGGTAGTTAATTCGAATCGTCTAGGTCTTTCAAAGAAAAGACTAGTAGGATACTCAAAAAGCAGGGCTGGCATTGAATGAATGCCAAAGTAAATTGAAGCTCAAGGACAGTTCCACTCTTTTTTTGGTGTGTTTTCAGTTCATTGCATGTTTGCTGTTGGTGGCTATATGTTGATTTGCCTTCTGCTTTGTAAGCTGTCCTTGGGCTTCCTATCTCTTCGTTTCTTTTCTACGTGTGGTATCTCCTCTACTCCATGTTCTAACCTTAGTTACGTTCTCCTTTATCTAACAATGTGTTCTTAATAGTATGAGTTACTGTCTCTAGCCGTTCTCTCATTAGTATTTGCTGTATCATGAACGGTTGCCTTACGTCCTACGACATATTCATTTGTCGAATCCTTGCCCGAACCCGTCCCCAAGAGGTGGACCTTGGTGGCGTTGACGGACCTACTAAGCTGGTATCCGGAGCCGGACTGACTATCGCGACTTGCAGTGTTGGCGGGCCACTGCTCTTCTCCGCCAAGGCTTCCACCTACATTCCCTTTATCTAGTCTTATCTCCCTTTATCTTCTGCTTTTTCCATATCCAAGTTTTATCGGTCACTAAGTCATATAATTATCATTGTTCTGTTTGTCGTACTAACCGGTAAATCATAATCATAATCATAAACCACTACGATTCAATGCTATCTCTCCTCGTTTTCTATGTACGGTATGTTTCTATGTTTGCTGTTTCTGTCTATATCTTCTTCTCAGAGCTGTAGGTAACTGCTAAAAGAATTCCGAACTGCTATGGGAATTCCAGAGTTCTACACTAACTTTCCACAGTAGCTCAGCATACAGCGGAAAGACGGGAAAGAGAATATTAAATTGCCGTCTCGTTGCGCGGCGATGACCGCGACGTTTCCTTAATTTGCACAGCCGATTCGATTACAGCATCGGATTTCAAGTAGACATGGCGAATACCTGTTTCATTTTTGGTCAAACACTCTCTATTTTCAACCAATACCGCCTAAAATCGTCGTCATTAGTGGGAGCGACGTCGCAAGCGACGCCCACTTTCGATTCACTTGCCACAAACCCGAATACAGCAGCATGAGGTGGAAGCACTCATCTTTTCAAGGTAGAGACGCAGTATTTGCCCACCGGTAGCCTTCATGGGCTGACGACCTATATAATTAATCGTGCACACGTGGAAGTCGATAGAAATTTATTGTATTCTAATTCTCAAAAATAAAGACAAACACCTGTGTGACATATATATGTGAATAATTAAAATGTATTAGCTATGTAACCCGGTTTGATGTGAAAAGGGAGTATTTGAGTGTTTCCGTGAAATGCAGCAGCAGCAGTCGCAGCAGTAAAACAACAACGAACGTACATCAACTAAACCGTTGGTCTCGTCACACTGACATTTGTACAATAATAATATCAATTATAATAATAATAGAGATGTTCTTTTATAAAGATATTTGCAATTACACAATTAAATGCAGATAACAACAATTGAGTAATAGGCGTTAGACGTCTTTAGAGATAAATGCGTTGACCCGTAATAAATCACTGGCAATTATCATTCATACATATACCTACCTAATGTCTCTAAGGTACTCTAAGATAATTTGAATAGATAGGATGAAAGAAAAACAATCGATATAGTATTCTAGACTAGTTGATGCTGTTCGGTGATCTGGAACACATCGTCATCGCTTCGGCCGTTTCGTTTCTTCGGTGTTGAGAAGGAAACGTCTAAAACGGAGTTTTCGTACAAACAGCATTCCAGTTATGTTCGGTGGTGTCATTCGTGCTATAACTGCAAGGTCCGGTAGAGTCGCACTGGCCAACTGACAGTTCTATACCACTGGGGCAGGATAACTGATGCGATACTTCTCGCATAGAATAAAACTCAATTTACGCACTACAATACTCCACTCAGTTTTTCAAAAACGGACGGGAAAGGCCGCCATTCGTCGCCAAAGACGCCAAAACCTCAAAAAATTTTGGCTTAAATTTTGCCCATGGAGGTTTCTCAGTGCCGTGGTCACGAATATGACATCGGCGCCAATTGGGCGCTGTTATATTTATCTCCGAAATGCAAATGAACTCTCAGAGGTCATTTGGTGTGACTAGGACATTAATGTTCGGCGCCGGCGCCAACTAAAACCACTTTGGCAGTTTGTGCTCTACTTACGGACCATCAGGTTTTATGCTATGGGTAACGATGTTCAGGCATGAATCTATAGCCGCTAAGTGACTCACCAGTAAAAACGAATGCAACAGAAACTATCGAGAAATCCCTGAACAAATTCTCTCCTCAGGAGTCCCACTGTACAAGTTTACCCGACTTACTGCCAGCTGGATACCTCGCGACCACTGTAAACCCTTGGGTGGCATATTGTTTCTACGAATCATCCAGACCGGAGTGACATCGAGCACAATCCAGAGATGGAGTCGTATTTGACCCCTGGGCGAGGTTGGGGGGGGGTGTGAGTCTTGAGATAAGAGTCAGTCACCAAGTAAGCAGTAGGTGTCATATTCCTGCTCAGAACTCGAAAAGCTCCAAATGCAGAGTTGTAGCGGGATTGCTGGGAAAATTCGTAGCAGCAAGTTGGCACTAAACTTATTCTGAAGCCACACAGCACCAGCGTTGGAAAGAATGCTACATTCGCAATTTGGTAACACTGTTGTGCATGTTTACAACGATTTGAGTGAGGAAGTCTGGTGCGCCACGGCGGCGCCAACCGTCGGTGAATGATAACGGCGGTGAAAACAGCTCTATACTCGTTACCAGGGGGGAGGGGGGGGGTAGCGAAAACCAATACCGGCTTCTAAAACGAACATCGTGTTCAAGGCCAAGGTGCAGATTTTGTAACCACAAAAGACTAGGTTCGGACAAGAAACTTTGGGGGTTGCAACAGATGAACAATAAATCGCGACTGTTTTCTTAGTTACTTTTCTGAACCATGCACACATCGTTCCATTCAGCTCCCGCAATTCTACAAGATGGCTCCTTCATACTTAGAAAAACTCATTGCAGTTTGCCCTCCATCAAAGCATGAACATGAGGGGACTGTTTAGGCTACCCACGTTAGTTCGTTGACTCGAGGCGGTTGTAAACACACTTTCACAACCGTTAGGCACTTTCTTTTGAAACTTGCAAAACACTCACATCGTTGCCGATTAGCGTCGAGTGTCTCGTGAAGTGGAAGTACAAACGCTTCTGTTAGCCGACGAGCAGGAGTACGGTTGGGCTAAAAGTTCGATTCAATGACTAAATTGCGACGACAAGTATACATCTAGAAAGTAACAGAAATTTGTTACCACGCTCGGATCGTCTCGTCTAGGTGTGTCCATCAACTCGACGCTTTTATCACCATCGCTCTCGCTTTCTGTGGAGACGTGACGAGATTTCCGCCGGATGCTACGCCACATCCCGAACCCACTCACAGATCGGGCTCTCGGTGATGCAGCTACCTAAAGCTGACTACTTCAAAGTTGCTTGTTGTTGAGCTAGTGGGAAGAATAAATTACTGTGAAGGTTTTACTGGCTTTTTCAAGTAAGGACAGCCAAATGGTCGAGACTGTGGGCCTACCTCTATACTATGGAGATCCCCGTTTTGAGTCGCTGCCAGGGCAAAAAGCATGCATTGCAAAAGTTTTCAATATGGATTCCCGACAGTGTATGAATCACGGGTTTGTCCAGCTGGGTAGGCAATAGAAGGAGCATGGAGAGTACAACGTCAAATGGCTCCCTCGCTCCGCAGGAAAAGGAGTAGGGAGAATGCAGAAAAGAATGAACAGTCTTCCATCGTTCTCAATTATAAACGTAAAACGTGTGGGGAAAACGGTCGGGCGCATGATGCTGAAGGTGCCAATATGGTCGTGCGGACGCTTTCTGTTCATCTGAAGGCAAGGGAGCTGCGCCTGCGATGGTGTAAACTTGTGACAGAGAAGGGCACAACATCATGGGGAAAAGAGAGGCAATGCAGTGCAAGCAACTATGAGAAGCATCAGAAAGGGAAGGACTAACCACCATCAAAAATCCTCATTAAGTGGTAATTAGCGGAGTCGGTATAGAAGAAAACCAGAGGCGCTCTTGCAAAGAGACACACATTAGCCTACAATCCCAGAACCGGCATAAAGGCACGTCTCATATCGACCTTGGGCTAATATTTAGCACCAAATATAAGACAACTGTTACAGAATAGATTCCATCGCACCTTATTGAGTGGGACACTAGGGCTCTTTGTAACTCTGCTACTCGATGGTTGAGATGACTCAGCACATTCATCTTCGATATCCTCGAAAATCGTTCCTTCGTCGGTTTCCTGTGAACACCACATTTCAGTTAACTGAAGGCATGTTTCAATGATGTGACACTCACTCTGATTGGAGCATGCTTCCGAGTACTCGCTCTGCGATCTCTTCGTGCCGGAACGGACGCGGCCGACGAGTCTGAATGCGGATCGGTGGCCGTCGGTGTGTACGATCTTGGCAGGTCTAGTGGCCGACAAGCCAGGTCTTCTTTCAATTGTGTCAGCTCAATTTCACACCTGAAACGGAATGAAAGAAACGTTAATAATGAATTCCTAAATGAAATCTAATCTAGGAGCCGCCCAGACTACACCAAACAATTTCGAATTTCTTCTCGCTTTCGTTGTGATTCATTCCCAAGCTTGCAATGGGCTTCAAAAGAGTGATCACAGTGGAGCGAAATCGGTATCAAGTTGATAATTAGGTCCTTACTTGTGTAGCATTGCTCCTATTGACATGGTGTAGTGGTTTTTTGAGTCCATCTTCTCCAGTATTTCCGCCTGCCATATTGCATCTTGTTCACAAGAAGCGCTTTGTTTGACCTGAATCAATCTAGAAATAGAGAGTACAAGAAGAACAGAGCGCTGATAAGGAGGGAGGTACGCTAGATAGGAAACCATTCTAGTTACGTAACATGACTGAATACGAAATCGGAGCGTCGGTCTGACGAGGATCGCATACGACACTCCTATAATTTCAGTTCCCATTACTGCTACTGTGATACAGGGCATATCGGTATAGGAAGGATAACCAGAGGCGACTCTCACGGCAAAGAGCACACATTAGCCTACAATCGCAGCACCGGCATAAAGCATCCTGCCCCTGAGGAAGACTTTCCGAAAATACGATCCCCTATGTAGCACATGCGGAACGGGAAAACGCGTCGCAAGTTTCTCTCAAAATGGCAAACACGATACCTTTCTTCCAAAAACGCAAATTGCGAGCCCTCTCTCGTAGCTAAGGGATGCCAAATGTGCACTGGTCTGATTTGAAATTATGCTTTGCATTGCACGGCTGTAGTGATGTTGGGATTGACGTTTACTATTTAGCCCTTAAAAAACGAAACCAAACGAATCAGAAGAGAATTCAAACAGGCACAACTTTTTTCGCAGAAAAGATTTTAGAATATAAGTCTACAGATGTAGAATTAACAAACTTCTGGTAGAGGAGCAAAAATATTCTTACTGCAAAATTGGCAAGAACTTTTTTCGAGTTTCCACACTACATATGTTTGTTATAACTTCTCATGATTTTCCACAGAGCAACACTTTGCAATACTTTGTAGATGGAAAAAGGTATGAAAGCTGTGTTTAGCAAGAAACTTGTTTCAGAAGGTCGGAATATAAGGCTGAAGAATTTTATTCAAATGATAATTTGTTTTTTTCTCAGTGGGACATGACATCCTTTTGGAGTAGCATTGCGACAACCGTGGGCAGACTTAAAAACAGCAGCACTTCTGTTTTCAGGAATTATCCTATTTATTTTATATTATGATTTGAGAGAATAGGAATATTTTATCGCAGACTGAAGGCAAAAAGTCCTCGTCCATGCAGTGGGCTCTCTGTGGGATTGCACCGATTCCCGCGAAGAATTTGTAGAAGTCTCCATACAAACATTCTCAATATAAATAGGGATTGCAGAACTTCACGTAGAAGCGTATTAGCGAATGCGCCATGCACTCGACCACCATTTTCCGTAGTTCCCTATGACTAGCTCGGTGGAAATGATGCGCGCGCTGCAAGGTACAAAAAGCGATTAACAGCGCTTGTGGATCCTTATTGCAACGCAAGCCCCGAGCGTCATTTTTTCAAGGCAGGTTTTTTTTGGGCACTATAATTTGCCCCCTGTAGACAACCGAAGGCATGGAGCTATATACATAGTATGAAACTGGAGTGAAAACGGGAAAGACCTGCAGAATACTGTCGAATAAACAAACACCTATCGTAAGATCACCGTTGATGCAATCGATGCGAAAAAACCACAGTAATTGTATGTAAGCCAAGAAAAAAATTATTAGGTTGTCCCAAAAGTTCGTGGACACTTTCAAACTTTTTTTCGAATTAAGTTTATTCCAGTGGGAAGCAATTTTGATCAGCTATATATATGTCACCTTCATTGGCAACTTGTTGCCAATCACTACGCAATGTGTGGTTGCCCTGCTTCCAGCTCCTTGGTTCTGTGAT